CTCCCTGTAATGTCACAGCATGATGACATCTGTCAATATCCAGTTCAACTAGATATCACCAGGAAAAGACAAGCTTCACCTAATGCATTGGGAGTCTGAGAAATGTAAATAACAATGTAGTTTAAAGCTATTCATGCTGGATCAAGATTTGTGGCTTGGGAAGACTTCATTCAGTCCAGAAAAATGTTGTTTGAGAATAGTCTAATTATCCCTGATAAGGTTATTTTGGCAAATGGTTGATATGTGACTGTCTTTAAACCTGTAAAACAAATCCAATTGTAAATAATGTAGAGGAAGTGAATGTGACTGAATTCCCACAGTACCAATTACTGCAATCATTTTGTATTGTGCTTCAAATTGGGCCAGGAAATGTGTTGCCTTGTTTTATAGTACATGGGAGCATTTTTCCTAATAGCTTTGGAAATAAATGATATGACTGTATTTAACAGTGAGACAGTTTATATTTTTGTGTTCCTTCATGGCTCATTTAAATGCTCATAAATTCAAAATTCATTCTACTCTAACAAAACTATGATATGGCACCAAATTAAGAAATGTTATCAACCACATTCACAAATACTTGTAGATGACTACAGTTTATAATCCATTGTTATGTTCTACATGAACAAATTTGCACACCACTAGTTGTTATGCTTATGTATCAAGAGAAATCATGGCAAATTCTGTTTCTGAGGGCTCTTCCAGACAGCATCAAAATGTAGGACAAATAAGTGAGGCAAAAAATCATGAGATCTGACAGCAAGTCCAAACACAGACCTGTCAATCCTGGTAAATGCTTCCCTGCTGTCCTGACACCTTCATTTGTTGTGGATTTTAGTAATCTGCAAATTACACAGGGGACTTCTGGTGGAAGTCTTTTTTTTAAAAAAATGACCCTCTGAGATGTGCTGGATCTCATATGTACTCATGCAGACATCTAAATGTACATTCAAGCAGATTTCTTATTATCTCTCCGCACCCTACTGTAAATTCAAGCTCTGTTTAATTTCATAAAGATTAGAACAAAAAAATGCTTGGAGAGCATTCTCTTGTAATTGCTTTCCATTTGTGCTTCCATTTAGTCACTTGTGTGTCCATGGCTCCCTTTATTTACAGCTATTTCGAGATTTTAAAATGTGCACATGTGCTGGAGCAATCCACACCAGGTTATACAAATGAAATCACATGTTTTCCTTGACTGCAGAGAGAAACAGTCATATTAATATGTGCATTTTTCGGCCAAAATTTTGAGCACACCTTTTTAATACATGTTTTTCAGCTGTTAATCCAAATCAGTGTGCATTTTTGTGAAGTGTCATTTAACCACCACCCTCTTTATCCCAGTTTCTTCCACATTTAGGGCATGTGTGGAAGGACCCTCAAATTGATACAAGCCGACATACTACTAGGAAAGAGAGATGAACCATGAAAGCATCTTAATTTTAATGTTCATTTTTTCCTACAACTCAGAAAGAGAGATTAACAATAAAACTATGTAAATACTTAATGGCAATTAATTGTTTAGTGATATGAATCCACCTGTGCAGACTACAATTCACACAACCTCTTATTGTTGGCTATGTGGTTTGAATCGGAAGAGGATAGGTTCATCACTCTAATGTTAATCTTTTGTGTATTTTGCTTCTGAATAGTAGTAGCAAAAGCCAAAATCCTATGAGATGCATGACTAAGTTGGCAAAGTCAAAGATTGTAAGAGACAAGGATGTGAACCAGAAAATCCCTCACTTAGGTCTCACATTTGTCATAAATTTTCCAATTAATCCAAGACAAAAAAAAATCTGTTAACCTCACCTGCTCTCAAGACCTCACAGTATCACAGTATTGGCCTAACTTGCAAGATTGTTTTAACGATACATGCAAAATGTGAGCTCTAAAAAATGCCAAATTAATGCTTTGTTTATTTAATCCATACTCTGCATATAATTCTAAAGATAGCTGGTAGTAGCATAAGCTATTAAAGAGATATAGCTAGATAAATGCAAAAGAAACATCTTGAATAGTTGAAAGCCCTATATGCTGACTGGGTTATAATGGAGCACTGAGCCATGGCAAAGTGGTGTCAAACTACTCTACAATATGAGTGCACCCTAGAGCTCAAGCTGTAGAAATATTAAATACAAGCCACCCCCTGCCATGCGTTGCTGTGGCTCAGTCTGTGTATATGTATTTTGTGTCTGTATATTTGTGTATATGTGTATATATGTGGTTTTGTGCATATGTTATAATGTAATTTTTGGGGTTTTTTTGGCTTTTTAAGTACCTTCTGCTGTGTTTTCCAGTGTTTTGATGACTGATGGTCACTTGTTGGCCTGATAGGTGTCTTGTATCCAAATTTGGTGTCAATTCGTTGAGTGTTTTTTGAGTTATGTCAATCCCACAAATGAACATTACATTTTTATTTATATAGATTGTCATTGTTGCTACTGTGAGTTTGTACCACCAAGGACTATTCCAGATTGGTCTAAAGAAGCATGGGTTCTCGTGATATAGCAACTTGGTTTCTACTGGTTGTTTCTGCCCCCGCATCCCCTTACTCAATTCTTCATCCCTCTCCTCATCTGGTTGTAGCAATTTTCTGGATCAGAATGGACACTGTTAAATTAAGTATTTAACTGTTGCATATTTTGCTTAAAGTGGTCTTGTAGTTTGATAGAAAAATCTACTCATTTTTTTTTTTAAATTGTTAAGAGTTACAGTGCTGAAGCACTGTTTCACTTTCTTTTAATATTTAAAAATAACAAAGTAAGAGAAAGAGACATTTTGTTTCAATATGTTTTGGAATTAAAAAATAAACCCACTGAAATGGGAACAATGTTGTTGCCAGAGTTGGGAAATTCCAGAAAAGAATTCAGGATGACAGAAATACTGGAGATTTTCCAATATATTTTACTGTTGTTTGCCGCATTTGTTGCTGTTGTTTGGAGGGTAGGGGGCATTAAATGACCAGGTGGCGTTTCTTTTTCTCTCTAAATTATTTAGTGACAATTCCCAACATGAATACTTTGATTCCATTGATAGGAGTTTTTATACTAGGCTAGATTGCATCAACAGCCCCAAATCAAAGGATTCTTATGATTCTGTTCTAGCAATTCAACTGGGTTTGTCCTCTTCATTCTCCCCCTTTCATTTCTCTGATGGAAGTGAGGGCATATGTTTCCTTGCACCAATGCAGCAAGAGTTTTTGTTTTGTTTTTGTTTTGTTTTGTTTTGTTTTGTTTGCAGAGTATACTATTAAAAAAGAAGGTATGCCCTCTCAGGGCCTCAGAGCCAATAGTGAGCAAAGACAGAAAAGATCTGAAGACTGGTCAGTTGTGTAGTGTTATGAAATCTGAATGATGATTGATCATATAATCAGTTTCACCATGCAATGTGGTTCACATCTAGGCATGCTGATGCACATTACAGGACCTCTGGGCCAGTAGTTCCCAACCTGTGGACCTAAAATAAGGTCCACGGCTCTATATTATTATATGGTTTTCTGTGGGTGAGCAGATAGTGACTACTGAATGGCATATGTTCTGTATCAGAAACTAGAGCTGATGTGGTCTATCCAATTCAGTTTTATGAATCAGTACCCCATATAACCAAACCAAATCTAAAGTTGACCAAAAACTGATTTGTAACCCTTTTGGTACTAATGTTGGAGAGTGGCCCCTGGACAAAGCAGCCCCTGGTCAAAAAAAGATTGGGAAGCATTGCTCTGGGCCCTTCCACACTGTCCTTTATCCCAGGATCTGATCCCAGATTATCTGATTTAAACTGGAATATATGAGTCCCCACTGCCAGATAACCTGGGATAAACAGATAATCTGTGATTAGATCCTGGGATAAAGGGTCAGTGTGGAAGGGCCCTCCTTCAGCATATCCCACAATTTATGCTTATCCTGGTTTATAAGTAATGCATATTTCTGCATGAATTTGTGCTGTGTGTCATTAAGACACTGTGTAAAGGTGCCCAGTGTCAATAGCAAGATGAGATCGCAAAACTGGTCATTTATCTACAGCTGTTACGTGACTGTTTTAGGCAATGATTATGAGATCTGAAATTGTGATTTCCACAACATATAGCTTTTTAAAAATCTATATTTATTATCAGAAAATACAATTAACCATTTTTCCACAGATGTGAAAATAAAGAACCTATATATATATGTCATGAAAGTACATGGTATTTAAAAAGAGACATAAACATATTTTAACATCTTAATTCAGCTTATACATACCATAATTAAACATATTAGCATCTTGCATGCTCTAATCTAATATAACAGTGAACATAACAATAAACTCTTGCTCATCTAGTTTTCAACTTTCCCCTCTTAAAACATATTATGCATATAGTTTCTATTACAATTTTCTATCCATTTATGTACATTCTGTTTTAGTATTACCCTCATACCCTTTTCTTGTGCTCCCTTCATAAACCATATAGCTTTGTGCTCCCTTCTTCCACTGCCTTTTACAGACTTTGTATGAATGTCAGCATAAAACTCCAAACTTTGCTGTGAGACACGACACACACACACATACCCCAAGCACAATTAAGGTAGCAGAGCCACACATCTGGATATTTTGAGAGAGAGAGAGAGAGAGAGAGAGAGAGAGAGAGAATGAATTATCACAACCTCCTGAAACATTTGTCCCAACTGGAAGCATCAACAGGCAGTGTCTGTTTTCTCCTGCATTGCTTTACTTCAGGTCACATCCAGATTGATTGAAAACTCTTAGATTTTGTTCCTGTTCTTTCCAATTTTATGCTGGGCTAAAATAAATAGACTTGGGGATCTATTATAAAAAGTCTCTGTTCATACCAAGGACTGACAGAAAATATTCTGGGGATAAACCAAATGTGTATGGTTCTCCAAAGTAAAACGGGAAGGAAAAGCAACAAAATATGGTTGTTTTAATTAGTCTGGATGTGCCATCAGTCTCTATATCAAGTGTTTTACTCTTGTCCTTCCTGTCTCCCTTCCTGACAGATACCTCTCCATCTGAAGCTGCCAATCTCAATGCATCCAACAGCATCGGAGCCAGTGTGCTGTGTGCCATCTGCGGAGATCGGGCAACAGGGAAACACTATGGAGCCTCTAGCTGTGATGGCTGCAAAGGGTTTTTCAGGAGAAGCGTCAGAAAGAACCACATGTATTCCTGCAGGTATAGTTGGCAAAGGATGCTGGGGAGTTTAAAGATGAGAAATAAATGTGTTGGGATGCTCCCAGGAGGAGGTCTGCCAACAAAGGATGCATGTACACTTTGGGACCAAGCTTTTGACAAATAATTGGAGCAGTGCAATATGTGACTATGAAACAACATGGTTGACAAATGGAATGGCCCTGAATTATGTTTTGGTTGGCGTGATTTTAATGGTTATTTTTAATAATTCATATTTTAATTATTTAGTTTTAATTGTAACTGTTGATTTTATATTTGTGCATATGGCATTAAACTGTTTTAAGGCTGCCTTGAGTCCCCGCTAGGATGAGAAAGGCAGGATATAAATATGTTAAATAAATAATAGAAGTAATGTAATGAGATCATTCTCTGTTATGTTTTTCAATCCTTCCTTTTTAAACTCACTCTTCCTTCTCTTTCCAGGTTTAACAGACAGTGTGTTGTAGACAAGGACAAAAGAAACCAGTGTAGATATTGCAGGCTAAAGAAATGTTTTCGAGCTGGAATGAAGAAAGAAGGTAAGTGCCCTTTGCAGATTTCTGACTGAGGCTTCCCTCTGGTCATATAACCACACAGCATAGTTGGGGAGCCAAACATCCTTGGAGGGCAGTGAGTGGGGCTGAAGATAGCAGGTGGAGTCAAACCAAAGTGGATAAAATGGAAGTCTTGCCGAATTCTTACCAAATCAAAAAGGCACAGTATCATTCAATTATATGCATATTTTATTGAGAGGAAGTGGAACCAACAATTTCCCAGACTGTAAAATAGTTCATTTCTATGGAAGAGTTCCCTGGGCTTTAAAGTAACATTTTATATGGTATCTCCAAACTCTGATCAGAAATAACATCAGAAGAAGCCCCCATGTTAGATTTTTTTTTTTTTGGTCGTGTCAGGAGTGACTTGAGAAACTGCAAGTCGCTTCTGTTGTGAGAGAATTGGCTGTCTGCAAGGACGTTGCCCAGGGGATGCCCGGATGATTTTTGATGTTTTTATCATCCTTGTGGGAGGCTTCTCTCATGTCCCCGCATGAGGAGCTGGAGTTGATAGAGGGAGCTCATCCGCCTCTCCCCAGATACGAACCTGTGACCTGCTGGTCTTCAGTCCTGCCAGTACAGGGGTTTAACCCACTGTGCCACCGGGGGTTCCTCCATGTTAGATGGGAATATCTTATGGGTCAAATCCAGAATGTTGGCCAGATATTTCTTTCCTTCTTGGACCCATATCTGCTTAGTTTCATTAATGTTGCAGTCAGATGCTCAGTGTTCATTTTTGAGCTTGTCTGCTACACAATTTTAAACAACTATAACTCAGATTCTGGTTCTGAGACCAGAATTTGAATCCATGCTCAGCCACGGAGGTCCACTGAGTGAAGAATGTTAATAAGAAAAAGGCTGTTAATAGAGTGCTGTGCTGTTTTTATTTCTGGACTTTTAAAAAGATATGATTTCAGGCTAAAGAATCCAATTTCAAATCCCAAATCCCATTTAAATTGAAAGTTCTACACCTGCTGACAACAGGGAAGGAGCTGTTCTGTCCTTCCTAAAAAGGAAATCACTGAAACAGACAGTAGCCACCAAAAAGGCTGTATTTTGTGGAATCAAGAGAAAGACCTTCTCTAAACATCTCAAAGCCAGACAAGCTCATATCGGAAGATATAGTCCTTCAGATTGTCTGGTGTCTCTCATTATATGAGTTTGTTGGAAAATGAAGAGGAGGAAAGCCATATATAACACACTGAGCTACTTAGAAGAATGTTAAGATAATTGTAACAAAAGGAAGTAAGGATAATACATAAAAAATACCTTTTACCATATATGAATGAGCCAGACTTTGGTATGTCTTTAAATACTTAAGCACCAGTAAATATTTTTAGAATACTTTAACGTGATCTCAAAATTTTTGCTGTATTTATTACTACAGAATAATACAGTTAACCCTAAGATCTTGAACCTATATGTCTCTTTCTCCCCGATTACACTCCTCAGTCCAGGCATTTCTGAGAATGTGTCTCAGGCTTTGCCCAAAGGATAGAGGAATCCTTTTCTCTTTTTCTCTCTCTCCAGCACTCACACATTTTGTATTTGTCTGTTAATATTCAATAGAAGTTACATTAGGTCCATGACCAGCTAAATACTGAGTAAACATTTGGAACACATCATGCCGTGACTGAGCTCCTGGGATCCTGATAACACACGGAGTAACCTTGAGCGGTCCTATTAACAGCCGCTGACTGCAGGATTTTCATTTCAGTACAGCCTCATTATAGCCTTATTATCAAGTGACATTATGAGATTAGAAAATAAATCTGGAGAGGCATAAGTGTAATAATAACACTCAGATACTGTTTGAGGCAGATATTCATGCAATTAACCATTGAGAGAATCAATAGCTGCCCAGTTATAATTGGTGGTTCTGGTGATTCTATGGCTTGGCAACCACCCTGGTCTCATAGGAAGTTAAGAGCCATTACAAATATTGAAGAGAGTTGGATTTAGGCCCTTGGAAAAGAAGGATCCATCCTAATAAATCAAGTGGTTGGAACGTCATGTATTTTGTGAAGTTTGGAAAAGTTATTTTTTTTGGACACTCATTCCAAGCATCTCTCAGCCACCATCATTACTGGCTGTATTTTTCTCGGGGATTTTTGGAAATAAAGTCTAAGGACCTTATTGTACAAGACAGGTAAATCACAATTACAACAAGATAACAACAGGTATTTTTGCATTAAAAAACAACAGGTATTTTTTATGTTTGTTATTTTCCCAGTGGGACATTGTTGGAAAGTGTTTCTTTTTTTTAAAAAAAGGACGTTGTTAATTGATTTTTTTTGTGTGTGTTTGTAAAAGAAACATGTTCCCAGGAGAACAACAGAGAAGGAACAATGCTGTTATCCTGCTGTAATTGTATTTTACCTACCTCATATGATAAGCTCCTTTAAAATGTAACTTTTCCAAGCTCTGCTTCATGGAGATTAAATTGAGTAGTTTATTTTTTTAGAAGAATAAATATGCACTGCAGTGCTAGTTTTATTTATTTATTTCGTGTCAAAAGCATTGCATAAATAAATAAATATAAAACTAATACAATAAATTGAGCACAAGCTACTAAATAGTTTTATACCAGAAACAGGCAACAGCAACTGCATTGTTTATAGCTTTAAACAATTCTTCCTGTGTGCATGAGGCAGGGCATTGTGGACAAGGATACAGAAATTGTGTTCTGCTTCACAGTCACACAAGGTGGAGGATTCTTCTAGGTAGTGCCATTTTGCCAGGTTGTCTTTTGATCTGCCCACTCCACTTCTGATTCTGTTCAGGGACTTCTAAGTTGCCCATTCTGCAGTGCTGGTGGTACACCTATCCGCTCCTTGGAAGGAAAATACTCCATAGGTTTATAGTTCACCCAAGAGATTGTCCTACATAAGTAAAGGGCAAAATGGTACCACTCTCCCCCATTTTATGGTCAGGAGTTGACTGGACTGGCAATTTTTGGGATTGCATCCTCGACCCAACTTAAGGCTAGTTTGAGAGGGCTCAGGACAGACTGTGTGGCATACATTGCATTGCCACCCAGTAGAGGGAGGTTTGAAAGAAATTTGCCTCTGGGAACTTTGTTTCCTCTTATACATAGGAAGCATTATATTTGCTTTTGATTTTTTCCTTTGTAGCTGTGCAAAATGAACGTGATCGAATCAGTACCCGCAGATCTAGCTATGAAGATAGCAGCTTGCCTTCTATTAATGTTTTACTGCAAGCAGAAGTACTTTCCCAACAGGTACTTGCTTCTACGTTGTTTTGATTTTGATTTTATTTCTATCCCCATTGTATTTTTGGCTAATATCTGTAAAAAGAAATAAGTCTCTTACACTGCAATCCTGTTGCAATGCACAACGAGACTGGCAAAAGTGTACTTGTTAATCAAACCCATCTTTTTATGGCAAGTCTATGAATGAGAGACCTCCACATTGCCCTGTTATCAACAACAACTTCCAGACTCAGAGCTGTAGTTTCCTTGATTCAATCTGTCCACCTGTAATTTAGTCTTCCTCTTTTCCAGATGTCTTCCTATCTTACCAAAGCATTATTGTCTAGTGAGTCTTGTCTTCCCTGATATACTCAAAGGGTGATAGATTCATCTTAGTTATCTTGGTTTCTAAGAATGGCTGAGGTATATTTTGCTGTATGACACATTTATTTGTCTGTTAATCAAAAGGACTAGGCAATCATTCAGTCTTTCCCATCGTCAGCAGAATTTTTTCTATGGAAAATATAGTCGAGGTACAGTCAAAAGATGACATTGTGTTGTCGAAAGCTTTCACGGCCAGAATCACTGGGTTGCTGTGAGTTTTTTGGGGTTTATGGCCATGTTCCAGAAGCATTCTCTCCTAACATTTTGCCTGCATCTGTGGCAAGCATCCTCAGAGGTTTGTTCAGAGGTCTGAATGAACATCTGAGGATGCTTACCACAGATGCAGGAAAAATGTCGGGAAAGAATGCTACTGCTACTGGAACATGGTCATACAGTCCAGAAAAACTCAAAGCAACCCAAAAGATGACATCATCTGATGTCTCTATAAAATGAATTATTGAACAGTAACACTCATGGGTGGTAGCACTCCATATGTAAGGGAGTGTAGTATTGTGTTTACAGCAGCAAGCCTTTGCCTTCCAGATATTTTGGCCTACAATTCCCATTGGCACTTCCTGGCATGACCAATGGTGAGGAACTGTGGGGATGATTTCTTTGTAGTACTTGGATAGCACTTGAACCATCATGGCTACTTTTGATGGAATCCTGAGATTTGTAGTTTAGTGAAGCACCATTACTCTCTGGCAAAGAATTCTATATACCCTTCTCTCAACTAATAGCAACTGGAGACACAGATCTGAATGTCAACTGCCCTACTAGAAAATATTGACCACTATTTCACATGATTAAATATAGAGTTCCACATACAAGACTCCACTATGGTTCCCCTGTCAGGAGTCACAATTGCCTCCTCCCTGACACTGTGTTGCTTTTGGCGAGCTGGGGTAGGATGGGGCAAGAGAAGGATCTGGATATGTTCCAGTAGTCAGATGCAGAACAAGGACATCTGTAACAAAATCATTTTCTGTCTTCTGGAGATATGAGCATTTAATGTCATTGGTTTGCATATTCAAATGCTTCTCTAAACTCACAGCAACCCAGCTTCTCTAATCCTCTCCACAGTCTGCTAGCAATGGAATAGAGGCGGAGGGGGAAACTACCACAGAATCGAGGGGCTCTGTTTATTGCAAAATATGGAATTTAATAGCAACCTAAACAATAAACAAAAATACAGATATGGAAATAAAGTTTGAGATGATGTAAAGCAATATGAGAAAGCTCTGTTATAATTTCACACTTATCCTCAATGCTGGATTCTATTTTCATTTCATGAGGAACTTGCACATGTGAAATTACCCTTAGTACCCTGAGAGCATTGAGAGTTTAAAAAGACATAATTCATAGAATCATCAAGTTGGTTCAACCCTCTGCTCAATGCAGGACATCCTGCTAGAGCATCCCAGCAGGTAGTTTTCCAGACTCTTTTTGAAGATGTCCCGTAAATGAGACCCCCTCCCTCCCCACTCTAGGTCATTGGTTCCATTGCTGAACCTCTGTCAAGAAGTTCCTTCTAATCAATCAAAATCTACCCTACTGTAACTTGAAATCATTAGATCTAATTCTACCCTATGTGGCCGAAGAGGAAAAGCCTGCACTCTCTTCTTTCTGGCAGCACTTGAGATGTTTTCAGGTTATGATCATGTCACCCCTTGATCTTCTCTTCACCAAACTGAACATGCCCAGCTCTTGCAGCTTCTCTCAACTTAAGTGTTCTCTGATCACAAGTGTTCCCAGATCAAAATGTCCAGAGTCTCTTCATGGCAGGGTAGGGAATCTCAGGAAGAGTGTGGTGCCTAGAAAGAACCTGTGTATGTTAGGCTTTGGAATTGTTTTAACTTAAATTTCATTATCTATAAACTGTTATTAATAACTTCAGGTTCCCCTATGAGATCACAAGGAGCCATGGATAAGCAGTAGGCTTTGGCCCTGTCTGGAATATTCTTAATTTAGCTATCCTACTAATCACAAAATGATTGTACATTCATTTATATTTCAGTATTTGCATTTGATTTGGTGTAGCCATAGGGAGATAGAGAGAAACAAAACAAATGTTAACTTACTTATGGAAATGCAGGCTAATACATTCTAACAGAGAGGAGAAAGAGATCTCCTTAAACCTGACCCATTTTTAGAAGCAGCATTTGGTGGACAATTGATTCACACTTGGTAAGAGGTCGTGATTGTTTGGGATTAGGCATTAAGAGAGATGTATCAAATTCTCATATGCTGTGACTCTGATTATGATCTGCTGTGCTTTGCACAGTTTCTTTACCTCTATTCCTCTGGTAAGCTAAATGAAACTTCTCTTTATTATTCTTGCAGATATCATCACCAATGTCAGTGATCACTGGGGATATTAGAGGGAAGAAAATTGCCAATATTGCAGACGTGTGTGAGTCCATGAAGCAGCAGTTGTTGGTGCTGGTGGAGTGGGCCAAGTACATCCCAGCCTTCTGTGAACTTCCTCTGGATGATCAGGTGAGCCAGTTTTTGAAGAACTTTTTTACTGTGTAAGATCAACTGTGGCTTCCCTACTCCATTTCTTTCTCTTTTTAAAAAAAACAGTTTAAAAAACATTATTTCTATTCAACACCTTCATTCAAAATGATAGCTTTCAAAGCTATATAAAACTTGGGTGACCACTTTAACATTAAAATGACAGTGTTAGAACGGAATATCTTCAACCACAAAACTGGGGAAAATAAGGTCACTAGATCTCAAGGCCTGGCCCTAAGTCTACACTTTCATGTGTCATCTCTAGGCAGGGATTTTTTGGGGGGAGGAAAGAGGAAATGGGAGGGCTCCTTTGTGGGGGGAAATACTCGATTCCAGGAAAAGATCTGTTACAAATCACCAGCTCAGATAGGACACCAACATCTTAATACAAATAACCTCCTCACTTCATTTTTAGCAAAGATTTCTCTCTTTTTTTCCAAACAGAAAAAGTATGTTCTTTACGTGGGTGTCTGAATGACAATGTTTGAGCAACTGTGTTTGGGACTTAATGCTTAAGACTTAATGACATCACCAAGGGTCATACCTAGGTCTCGCGTTTCAGCCCAGAAACCTCAGGGTCTGGGATGATCCTGAAAATGACAATCTTAAAAGCTTTTGAACAAGCGAAAAATTGATAAGGGCACTTTGAAATCAAAATTTAGTTCAGGCACAGGCTGCCTCTGCTTTGTGTTGTTTTGCTGAGACTAAAACCTGTGGGAAACCATTCTCTCTCCCTTCCCTTCAGCAATTTCATTGCAAGATATTTCTCCATGTTTGTTCAGTGCATACAGATTGGCCCATCCCTGTAAAAGACACCCTTTCCCAAATCCTTCGGTTAATGTTTAGTGGTTGTTTGCTACATAGCTGTAGCCCCAGTCGGACATTAAGAAGCATCCGTGGCACGCTGTGTCTTAAGCGTTAACCTTTGTGTCGAGAGATGTTTAAAAAAATAGAAATGAGACAGGAGAATCAGTCAGAACATTCTTGAGGATCACTGAAGGATATAAAGTGATACAATGCAATCATTAACAAAAGAACAAGTAAATAACATTTTTTAAAAACCCTGAGGTTTCTCAGCACAAGAAGATGTTCATCTTCACCAGGGATTTTTTTTAACATTAGGGCAGTGATGTAAAGCTGTGAAAAGTAGCCCATCAAGTAGAATGTTTGTGTGAAACTTTTTATTTAGTTATTTAAAACATTTATATTCCACCCTTCTCACCCTGCAGGGGACTCAGGGTGGAGCACAATATATAGATGACAAACATTCAGTGCTGGGACATAAAACCATAAATATATACAAACATTAAAATCACTTATATTCACATTAAAAGTTGCTTAAAAACCATCTCAGGACACCATTTTACCTCATTGCACTGCCCCAAAGGCTTAGTCCTACAGCCAGGTCTTCACCATCCTTCTGAAGGACAGGAGGGAGGGGGCTGATCTAATATTGCCAGGAAGGGAATTTCATAACTGGGGGGCAATCACTGAGAAGACCCTGACTTTCGTCCCCGCCAAACACATCTGTGATGGTGGCGGGATTGAGAGCAGGGCCTTCCCAGAAGATTTTAGTTTCCACAGAGGTGCGTTCAGACAGGTAAACTGGGCCTGAGCCATTTAGGGCTTTATAGGCCAAAGCCAGCACTTTCAATTGTGCCCAGTAGCAAACAGACAGCCAGAGGAGCTGACGTAACATGGGAGTTCTGTGCCGCCCCAGTTATTAACCTGGCTACCTCTCATTGGACTATTTGAAGCTTCCAAACCATCTTCAAAGGCAACTCTTACAGAGTGTCCAAACACCACTGTATGAAGAAGTAGCTGTGACTATACTTGTTTACGACCTTGTACTTAATTTTCCCCTATGTATGTGCACAAGAAAGTCTCAATACAATCTTTGGTTGACCCCTCTTCTTTCTTCCTTGGCCCATTATGGAAAACAAATCAGGCCCTGCCATTGAACACAGTGAGGCTGTCTTGAGTTACACATCATGTGGAGTGGGTAGTGATGGCAAGATATTGGTGTATGCCTCATAGCTCATGGAGTCCCTTGGTGGTGCAGTGGGTTAAACCCTTGAGCCTGCAGGACTGCTAACTGAAAGGTCGGTGGTTTGAATCCTGGGAGCAGGGTGATCTCCCATATGTCAGCTCCAGCTTACCATGCGGGGACATGGGAGAAGTCTTCCACAGGATGGTAAAACATCAGGGCATCCCCTGGGCAACATCTTTGCAGATAGCCAATTCTCTCACACCAGAAGCAACTTGCAGTTTCTCAAGTTGCTCCTAACATGAAAAAAATTCAGAATTCCCCCCAAAATTGGCCCATTGTGTGCTCTTAGATGTGGCAGAAGACCTTATTCCATCACCAAGTGTTGAAAAAAAATTGAGCTGCCAGTATCTCTATATGGAATGGAAGAAGGGACCTATCTTGGATCCTTTCATTCTGTAACATTAGAGTGCTTAGTCTTCCTAGGAGGTAGTAGGTTGAGCTGCTTTTTCTGTGCTCCTCTTACGTTGGTACATGAGTGTTTTTGACCTGCTTGTTACAGCCCTTTCCATCATCACTGGCTTTTGTTCCTTCAGGTGGCTTTGCTCCGGGCCCATGCGGGGGAACACCTATTACTGGGAGCAGCCAAGCGGTCAATGGTGTTCAAGGATGTCCTACTCCTAGGTAAATGGCTTTATTTACCAGGATACTTCTGTGTCTTCCCATTAGAAATGCTATAGCCAAAGAAAGAAATGACATTATAATTTGCAATATTTCTTACAGAGCAGTCCTATACAACACCCTGCCCCAACCTGCCACTCTGTGTGTGTTGGACTATAACTGCCATTATACCCAACCAGCATGACCAGTGTATGAAAACAGTACAAATCATGCTCCCCACCACATTTGGAGGCTCCAAGTTGGAGAAGACAGCTAAAGATTAATTAAGATGTTAAATAAAATTTAATTTATCTGCAGGAAATGACCATATAATCCCTCGAAACTGTCCAGAGTTGCTGGAGATCAGCCGTGTGGCCGTGCGGATCTTGGATGAACTAGTGTTGACATTCCAAGAGCTCCAGATCGATGATAATGAATATGCTTGTTTAAAAGCAATCATCTTCTTTGATCCAGGTAGACAGTGCTCTTCTTTTCCGCAACTATCCAGGTTTTTAGGGGTGCTGAGGTCTGGCTTTTCTGCAGTTGGGTTGTTGTGAGTTTTCCAGGCTGTATGGCCATGTTCCAGAAGCATTCACTCCTACATTTCACCCACATCTATGGCAGGCATTCACAGAGTTTGTGAGGTCTGTTGGAAACTAGGCAAGTGAGATTTATATATTTGTGGAATTCCCAGGGTGGGAGAAAGAACTCTTGTTTGCTTGAAGCAAGTGTGAATATTGCAATTGTCTATCTTGTTTAGCATTGAATGGCCTCACTTGCCTAGTTTCCAACAGACTTCACAACCTCTGAGGATGTCTGCCATAGATGTGGGTGAAACATCAGGAGAGAATGCTTCTGAAACATGGCCCTACAACCTGGAAAACTCACAGCAACCCTGTGATTGCAGCCATGAAAGCTTTTGACAACACGTTTTCTGCAACTGATTAAACATGAACTTAAAGCGAAGGTCTTACACATTCATCAGAACTGAGGGAAGTAACCTTTTTTGGTTAACAACTCTAAACATACTCCAGAAACCCATGAAAAGATAGAAATATAAGAAAGACTAACAAAGCAATTAAGATTCAAGGTTCAGGGAGAGAAGTGCTGGATTGTCCTTATTCCAAGACACCATGGAAATCCACAGGGTGACCTTAGGCAAGTCACATATTTGTAGCCTAAGAGGATGTGAATGGCAAAACTAAATAAATCCCACTATGAAAAGCCTGTGAGATGTTCACCATTAGTCAATGTCAACTTGAAGGCACATAACAGCAGTACTCAGAGGGCAGTTAGCATTGATGCATACGGTTGTCAGGACATTCTGTAATTGCACATTATTACAAAAACATGAACAAATGTCATATCTGAAAATACATGGGTTGAAAACAGAAAAAACACAGGACTACAAAAGCTAGCTTCATTGATGACATTTTTGTTTATATTTTAATCTGCATTGTTTGTAAGCCAATTTGAATTTGCTTTTTGGGAGAAAGGTGGGATATAAAGAAATAAAATGAATGAATGAGTACCAGTGATTTGGAATAAGTAAAATAAAAGAAGCACAGTGGCCAGAAACCTGTTGGTTGCTTATGCTAGAATAACTTTGGGTTATACCAGTGTCAGTACTTTCCATTGCAGAAGGAGGTAAACCGTTCCTCCTTGTTCAACACCTTCACTTCTGGGTCTGCAAGGGCAGCAAGAGTCTTCTGGCTACAGCTCTGTCTCCTTCCCCAGTTACTGACTGAACACACAAGTGTGCCCATGAGTTGTCTAACACCCTTACACATCTGGAACTGAAGAAGTAGACATTCTCTTTAATGTCAAAGTATTCTGAACATTATACTACCAGATTCGATCTAAATTGCTCTGAAACAAAGGTGCAGACCCTGCTGTGAGGGCTTGTTCTTGGGAAATAGCACCGCATGTAATTTCTTGCAAATTATTTCAGATGCTAAGGGCCTGAGTGACCCCATCAAGATCAAACGAATGAGGTATCAAGTTCAGGTCAGCCTGGAGGACTACATCAATGACCGGCAATACGATTCCCGGGGACGCTTTGGGGAGCTGCTTCTCCTTCTCCCCACTCTCCAGAGCATCACCTGGCAGATGATTGAGCAGATCCAGTTTGTGAAGCTCTTCGGCATGGCCAAGATCGACAACTTGCTGCAAGAAATGTTGCTGGGAGGTGAGCATTGCCTTGGGGCTCTTTAGAAAGTTTCTTTTCCACTCTGTATTAGGATCTTTTACTGCAGACTGAGAGACAAGTGCAAGGCATAACATCAACTCCACCTACTACCAAGAAGAGATGAACATCTGAAGTTCATTTGGCTGTGGACTTTTGTTGTTCTTCCTGTCAAAAATTGGACCTCCATATTTTAAGTGGAGAGCAGCAATTATAATCAATGCACATCAGGTCCTTTGTATGTGTGGAGGTTTGATTCCATAGATGATCAAGTTCCATTATATACAGTGGTGTCCCTAATATAAAATAGTAACATTAAGATTTCATTTTTTGTTTGTTTGTTTGTTTGTTTTGTGAGGAAAGGTTTGGAATATTTTCAAATAGTAATTGGTTGAATTTGTGAATACAGACTCCATGGATAAGAAAGATGACTGTGTGACAAAAAGATTATTATCTGGTGATGAGTAATAATGCTAATTCCATGCTTCTAGTAGTGATTCACACAGAGAAATGAGACTGAGATTCCTTTTCCACTGCACAATTATAGCGTTTTGGTGCCACTTTAAATGCCTTGGCATTGGCAGAGAGTTATAGTGTTTTATCAAACTGCTTCATTCCAGGATTCCATAGAATGTATCAATAACAGTAAAAGTACTACCAAAGTGTTATAGTTGTGTGAAAGAGACCCAAGAGACCTTGATATATTGAACTTAATAACTTCCTCTTCAGCAGAGCGAGATTCTCAGATTGCCCCATTCTATCTATGATAGGGATCCAGGAGTTTTAACTCAATTATCATTTATTATCATTAATTGTTCAGGAGAAACACCAGATACAATAGGCACATTGGTGTATATGCCAATTGATAGATAACTGTTTCCATATCCTTACCAGCCAAGGTGTACATTGGGGTGGGAATAATGTGGCTTTCCAGATGTTATTGGATTATAAACCCTAGTAACTCTAACTAGGGATATATGATTCTCATACAGAGACTGGCTAAAATCCAAGTTCTTGACTTTGTCCAATACTCCATAGCCAATGTTGATTTGCAGAATATTACTTGTGTGTGGGTAGTGATAATGTGGGACCCATTGTAACTCTTTATTATTTTCCTCCAGAAGATGGATAAGTTACTTCTTTTGGACTATATCTCCTAGAATCCCCAGCCAGCATGACCCCTGTAGTTGAAAGGCATGACTTATCTAAGCTCTTTCCCCCTTTCCTCTAAGGTACCCTCTAACACTCATATCATTTCACACTGTACATCACTTTGTGTACTGAATATTGGACAACATTTAGAATAATATCTACCTATTTATATTTGTATCATTTTAGGATCATCAAATGATACACCTCATACTCATCACCATGCTCTGCACCCTCACCTGATCCAGGAGAACCTAGGGACAAACGTCATAGTGGCCAACACAATGTCTGCTCAGATCCACAATGGGCAGTTGTGTGAGTATTCCTATCCAATAAATCTAGTACTTTAGGAATTTTGCATTTGTGGGTGTCAGAGCACCCTCATGATATCACCAAGTTAAAACATAACTGTCTTTTGGAGTCTAACAATTTTGCCCAAATCTGTACAGGCAACATGTTTTGAAACGGTTGTTGATCATAATACCTTACCTAGTATCAAATCAAAATATTTATTTCGGTCATTGACCAGCACAGGAAATAGTGTCACATTTCCAGACAAACCTGGCATGTTTGGTACATTAAAAATATAAATATAACTACTAAAAACACAATATGGGTGAGAGAGTAGAAGGGGGAACAGGGTAAAAACATACAATGCCCAGATCCATCACCAAATTGTAGATTCAGGGAAGAAGATTACTGGACACACAGTTGACTTTTGGAACTAGTCATTCCCTGGCGGATTTTGTATGCTGCTGCACAGAACTTTGCACATTGTAGGTTGTAGCTGAATTAGTATCTGCAAGTAGCAGGGAGGTATAAAATTGTCCTGAATGGCCTGGGTGCTTGTATATCAGAGGTAAGATAAGCCTGGCACGGATATCCCTGTAGAACGGGCACTGAAGGAGCACATGTTCTATTGTTTCTACATGACCCGAGTCACAGGGGCAGAGCCTCTCTGGGAAAGGGATCTTCCGGTAGCGGCCTTCGAGTACAGCTGATGGGAGAGCGTGGCATCGGGCCAGGGTGAAAGCCCTTCGATGAATAGGAACCTCTAAGTATGTTAAATATGCCATAGGGGAGGCAAGGTATCTGCTGTCTTCACTGATAAGGAAGCTTGGAGCCGAGGCCAGATCTAGTTGGCGCTCTGTGTCTGTGATACGTTGTTTAATAAGTGCTTTGGCTTGATTGTAATCCATAGCTAATAGTAGACCTGGAGAAAATCCCAACGAGGAGATTTTGGATGCTACCGCCTGCTTCCATGTGGATTGGAAGTCATCCTCCATGGTTAGTGGGGCAAGGCCAAGGGGTGCACGGGACAGTCTGAGCCAGAGGTTAAGTATGGCCACCCACACCCTGGCCTCCACTCTCATAAAGCCCGTCTCTAGTCGCAGGGTGGCATTAGAAACGCATTTAGGTACCTGCAAGGCTGATCTCAGAAACTTGGACTGAACCACCTCTAATGGGGCAAAACTGGAGAAGGGGCCCAGCTGAGCCCCATACAAGAGTTGGGCTAATGACTTGGCTTCAAACAGCTTGAGCGCTGCCGGTGTGAAGTGGCCCCCTCTTGTCCTAAGATATTTAAGAATGGCAATTGAGCTCCCCTGCGCGGTGTTGGATACTTGATCCCCATGAGCTCTTCTGCTACCATTACCTAGTAACAAAGTCTTTTTCCCCCCACAGCTACTCCTGAAACTCCACAACCTTCCCCACCAGCTGGCTCAGGAGTCGAACAATACAAACTGCTTCCTGGGGCCATTGCAACCATAGCCAAACAGCCCACTTCGATCCCTCAAACCACTATCACAAAGCAAGAGGTCATCTAGCATCCACTGGAATGAATACTCTCTGTGTTACAAATACCATTTTTGCAGGGGGCAATGAAGAAAAGCCCCTCCTCATCTTGATCGTGCTGGAGGTAGAGTATTGACGGAAATATATATGGAGGCAGAGGCATCTCCAGGTATAGCAGTGGAGAACCTGAGTGTTGTGGAACATACATACAAGCTGCACTGGAAGCCTTATCTTTCCTTTTTAGATCCAGATCCTAGACTTCTGATCTGCCAATGCCTTTTTTCGAAAAATTGCACTGACTCACTTGTTTCTTCACTGCCACTGAGTTACCTGTTGTTTTGCAAATCTGACTTTTGAAGACAAGGCTTAAAGGTATCTGAATGAAAAAGACACACTTTGGTTGGAGCAGCTCTAAATATCTGAAAATTATTGTGTGACAATTGAATTGCATTGGATGGATTAACACAATTCCGACAGAGAAAACTGCAGAGAATTTGGACCAGCTGCTGTTGAAGCACTGCCTTTTTACTGCCTCCTCCACTGCCTTAGAACACTACCAGAAGTGAAGGCTAGGCCTAAATGCTTCCACTGATGTTCAGCAACAAAGAAATGACCATTCAGAGGCAAACCTATGTTCTCTTATCATACAGTTCTCGCATGATGATGCTCTACTTCTATTCTGTTTAGTGATGTCTGTTTGAACAAAGAGTTTTCTTGCTGGATCAAATCAAATCTCATCCATCCCAACATTCTCTTCTTCCAACGTTGTCTACCCAAATAGGTCTCTGGGAAGAGTACATGCAGAAGACGGAATTGTCCATCTTCACCTTGTTAACCTCATTATCTAGCAAGCAGTTGCATTGCCATTGCTCATGGAGATACCATAGCGAATTGCCATTGTTGTTTCACCTGTCTTTTATGAATTTGTTGAATGGTTTTGAGACCATAAAGTTTGCTTAGCTGGAAGAGCACTAAGTCTATCCCTTTGACAGGCTTGCCTCTCTGCTGATGTGCTGCACTTAAGCTGATTTGGAGGCTTTCTTCTTCCACCTCCATCCAAGACAGAATGGCTTAACTCAATAGAACTTGATGGTGCTGGAACAATGTTTCATGAATACCCTGATGAAGTACCCCAGTGCCAGACCCACCTGTTTCTCATCCTTATTCCCAATTATTCCCGGTGCTACAATATTGGGTGTTACAGAGAACAAATGAGGGGATGATACTGATGTGGAAAAGGTTGCAGTTGTCGAAGCGATGTCAACAAATCAAGCTCAGGCCTCACCGCTGTCAAAGGGGTCTCCAGAGCAATCCTTGCATGAGCCAGCTGTACCCTTTATTGGAAGTGACTTTGACTCACGTGTTTAGAAAATATTTCCTGAAAACAATTGAGGCTGGAAAGATTGAGGACAAGCATGTTAAGTTCATATCTGTAGTGTCGTGCTCATATCCTCTGATTTATCAGAAATAGTTCTGCATATGTAGTTCCATGTTTCCAGCTACTTTTTAAAGGTCCCAGTTCCTCTATCTTCCTTCAAGTTCTCCCTATGTGCATATCTTATCTTAATTGCTGCAAATTGAGTTCAAAGTACAAAACTTGGCATACAATAAACTCTGCAGGAGGAAGATGGGGGTGCAATCTTGCTCTTCCCAGTTGGCTCAGGTGCATCTCCTAGTTTCTTATATTTTTTGCTCCTTGACCACAACTGATGTCGCTTAGAGCTCTGTGAAATGTTGGAGGGTGTGCATTCTCAGCAACAACCATGGCAGAGGTGTCATTCTCAGCCCATAATATGTGAATTAGATATACAGCCTCCTTGGATGAAAAATAGAGTTGGAAAGGACCTCATGTGCCATCCAGTCCAACCCCCTGCCAAGATGCAGGAAAATTGCATTCAAAGCACAAGGAATGGGCCTTCCTAGTGAAAACATTTGACCTTAACAAGGAGATCAATGAGGATGATATCTCAGTGGTAGAATTAGCATGCTCTTCCTCATGCTTCTCCCTGTGAGTTGGATCATATCAACATCTTTGTTATTCTCACTTAACATGCCATGATTTCACATCAAGTTCTGATTTATTTGACACATGAAAGGGATAAATCAGATGCTGAAGTTGAAAGAGATTTGAAACCCACTCGAGAGATCAGAATGCCACCCAACCCTTTGTTGTTCTGAAGATCAGAGTCTCTTGATTTGCTTTTCTTTTGTCCCAGGATAAGAAATCACACAACAATAGTCAAATTGTTCTCTCTGATGAGTAACATTTGTGGAGCAACATGGGCTGAATTCACCAGACGATTTTAAGATCCAAGATGCACCACAAAATGACTTTTCCCCTCAGCACTTACTAGATGACACTATACTAAATATTCTGAACCAAATAATTTACCAGATCTAAGCAGAATTTAGCTCACAGTTCCTTCCATATACTAAAATCTACTTCTGCTTGCCTTAAACTTTCTTCACTTCAGTACCATAATTAGGAGAACCCAAGAAATATTTGTTGGTTCTATTGCAAAACAATTGGGATACAGAAATACTTTGTCTACCAAATAATAATAATAATAATAATAATAATAATAATAATAATAATATGTTGCAATCCCAGGCAACAGCAGGATTGAAGAGAAACAACTGGAAAAGCTGACATGATATGAGGATTTAAAGATCGAACTGCAAAGACTCAGGCAAAAACCAGTAAAGATAGTCCCAGTGGGTGCAGTGCCTAAAGACCTTTGCCTGCACTTAAACACAATTGGCGCTGACAAAATTACCATCTGTCAGCTACAAAAGGCCACCTTACTGGGATCTGCATGCATTATTTGCCGATACTTCACACAATCCTAGACACTTGGGAAGTGTCCGATGTGTGATCCAATACAACAGCCAGCAGAGTGATCTTGTTTGCTGTGGACTCATCTTATTGTGTTTCAAATAATAATAATAATAATAACAACAACAACAACAACAACAACAACAACAATAACAATAACAATAATAATAATAATAATAGCTTTATTTTTATACCCTGCCACCATCACCCCAAAGGGACTCCGGGCAGCTTACATACAGGACCAAGCCCAGAGCAAACAACAGAGTTTATGCCTAAAACACAGTTAAAAACAACATATAACAATCTAATTAGACAATTAATAACAGGACAGTATAAAACATCAATTAAAATGTATCAAAACTGTTGGTATGAAAGCAAGTGACAAAAATGTTAATAATACACTATTCAATCGCTTTTGGGGTTTTTTCCAGCTTATGATAAGCGTGAAAACCTCAATTTGTGTTCAGAGCAGTGATGATTTTTAACCCAATCCCCAGTAGGGATTTTAACCCAATCTGCCTTCCATGTACCTTGTTCTAGAGTACACACTAAGACCAAACTTGGTTGCTGATAAGGACATATTGTACCAGTTTCCTCTGGTGAACTGACATACAATCAATATTACTTTAAAGAAGTAATTATTTAGAATAAAAGAATGCTGAGCCCAAGAATGTGTTTGTATCTATACTACACTGTTATAGTGATTTGACACCACCTTTGCTATCATGGCCCATCCTATGGAATTCTGGGATTTATGGTTTGGTGAGACATGTAGAATTCAACACTAAACACTTCTAATGTTGTCCCTTGAATTCAGCAATTTTCTCAAGTACCAGAAGTGAAAGGAGCTCACAGTCCTTCTAAACAAAAAGCTATTCCTGTTTACTTTACATGTCCTTCATTTCTGAGGGAAAATTCAGGGACTAGAATGGGGGAGAGGGGGAATCACTCTTAGTGCTAAACATTTGTATGTCATACATATTACAAATTACTCTGAGCTCTAAACAAGAAAGATCACATCAAACTCTTAACACTCCCTAGATGTGCTAAATGGTGGAAATGTAGTACAAGCTGAGAATTCTTTATGCATAATTCTGAAACCCCCAATCCTCCACAATCCAAAATGGATAGCTGAGTTAGTGACCCTTTTGCTTTCTAACAGTTCAGTGGTGCACACTGGAGTCCCTGGTGGAGCAGTGGGTTAAACCCCTGTGCCAGCAGGACTGAAGACCGACAGGTCGCAGATTCTAATCCGGGGAGAGGCGGATGAGCTCCCTCTATCAGCTCCAGCTCCTCATGTGGGGACATGAGAGAAGCCTCCCACAAGGATGATAAAAAACATCAAATCATGGCAACGTACATCCTTGCAGATGGCCAATTCTCTCACACCAGAAGCGACTTGCAGTTTCTCAAGTCGCTCCTGACATGACAAAAAAAAGTGGTGCACATTAAACAGTCAGTGTATACCACATTGTTTTATGCAGAAAAGTTATTTAAAATGTTGTATAAAGTAACCCCCAGGCTGTTTGTATATGAAATATAAATTAAATTCATGTTTATACTGGGTCCCATCTCCAAATATCTCATTATGCACAGGCATCCCAAAATCCAAATACAGATGTTCTAAAATCCCCCCTTCCCCCAAAATCTGAAATCAAGAACATTTCTGGTCCCAAGCATTTCAAATAATGGATACTCAACCTATTCTGGTGATTTTGTGGATAATATATGTTACTTTCTAGGTAATAAATAGGAACATTGAAACAGAATCTGACACAGATGTTATTTTCCTTGACCACTACTAGTGAAGTCTTTGAACAGATGATGCCAGCTGGAAAAACACACACACTGCTTCAAAATGACATCTCCCTCCATGTAGGACTAGACGGCATGTAGAAATATGTTCCATCATGACCCCAAACATGAATGTGACAGCGTTTCCCCTTTGTAGGAATATCAATGACAGCTAACATTATCACTGCCAAAAAGTCCTCATGCCAGATTCTTGACAGAGCAACCAACCTGCTGGTACCAATCAAGTCCATCTCACTGCAGATATTTAAGATTTAGTCCTTTTCATATCAGATGCAAAAAATGAACACCTGCTGGTAGACCATGAGTGTCAACGTATTGTATTGTTTGCCAAACATGACTGTGTTATGCTATATAATTTATTACAATGATGGGTTGAATAATGTTACCCTAAATTATTTTGTAAGTCATATTGATTACATCTAATCACAAAATGGAATGTGAATAATGTAAATTGCAGGAGGACTTCTCTCCAACTGCATCAACATTTTCTGTTGTCTAGGGATAGTTTGGAAGAAGGTATTTTGGCAAGTAGATGTTAACTACATATGACAAGTCTCCCATTAATGTACATTAATTTCTGTTGACAACTGCCTTCCAATGGAAACAGAGCTGTATTGCTTTATTAGTGTTTTAAAGAAAACAATAAACACAAAAATATTTTCTAACCTTTCACAAATTGTGTTGTTTCTAATGTAAAAGCAGTAAACCAACTCGGATCAGTCTGTGTTAAAACTAGGGATCTTTAATTTTGTATGTTGCACACACTCAGACCATGAGTCAATATAGCGAGAAGGTGCATGTTGGATTCAAAAGTGGATATTAAGGCTATATTTACACACTTACACACACACACAGTGGAAGTTGGTTTCTGCAATATAACTGAGGTCCCTTCTGCACAGCTGAATAAAATCCCACATTTTCTGCTTTGAACTGAGATATATGGCAGTGTGGACTCAGATAACCTAGTTAGAGCAGGTATTGTGGGATTTTCTGCCTTGATCTTCTGGAATATAGGACTGTGTGGAAGGGCCCACAGTCAGCTCTGCACACATCGAAGACTGGGATGAAAATGTCATAAAATTCAAAAATAAGTATATTAAATTGTTGTTAGATACCTTTGTTCATTAGGAAGGTGCTCTCAATTAATCAAGAAGCAGATTTAACATTTTCATAAAAATATTTTAATATAACAATCTGGTGGTCATAGAATGCCAAGTAATATGTGCCTGCATCATCCAAAAAGAATTTTTTTGCCTTTCTTCAGAATTAGTGTTCTTCCTCTGCAAATATATGCAATTTAATCAATCAATATGAATGGCCTAGTGCAGTGGTTTCTCAACTTGGGGGTCGGGACCCCTGGTGGGTTCGCAAGGGAATGTCAGAGGGGTCGCCAAAGACCATCAGAAAACACAGTGTTTTCTGTTGGTCATGGGGGCTCTGTGTGGGAAGTTTAGCACAATTCTATCATTGGTGAGGTTCAGAATGCTCTTTGATTGTAAGTGAATGACAAATCCCAGAAACTACAACTCCCAAATGTCAAGGTTTATTCTCCCCAAACTCCACCAGTGTTCAAATTTGGGCATATTGCATATTCATGCCAAGTTTGGTCCAGACCTATCATTGTTTGAGTCCACAGTGCTCTCTGGATATAGCTCAAGGTCAAAACTCAAGGTCAATGCCCACCAAGCCCTTCACATATTTTCTGTCGGTCATGGGAATTTTGTGTGCCAAGTTTGGTTCAATTCCATCATTGATGGAATTCAGAATGCTCTTTGATTGTAGGTTGACTATAAATCCCAAATTACAAAATTAACCCCCCACCCCCCACCCCCCACCCCCAAATGCCACTAGTATTCAAATTTGGGCGTATCTGGGATTTGTAACAAATTTGGTCCAGTGAATGTAAATGTATCAGATATTTACATTACCATTCATAACAGTAGCAAAAATACAGTTATGAGGTAGTAATGAAAATAATTTTATGGTTGGGGATCACCACAATCTGAGGAACTGTATTAAGGGGTCATGGTTGAGAAATACTGGCCTAGTGGTATGATCCCATGGAATGTACAAGAGCATTTGACACAAGCAAAGCCCTGCTAGAGCCTCTTTTC